GACAGACCCACACAAACAGGGGAAGCACTGAAACTCACTTATTTAAATATTGTCAAATGCACAAAGTAAACAGAAAAATGGAGAAATAATGTGGTCTTGCAAATTATAGTACACCTATAAGAGATTAAATTGGGTATATACTGTTGAAAGAGAAAAAATGAATGGCTTTCAGAAAATTATTAATTGAATCCAAACTTCACATTAAATACACAATTCTAAAAATCAAACTGGAGGAAAAAATAATATAACTTATTTCACTCAAATGTTTAGAAATATGATATGGAATAAATTATGAAGGATTTATCAAAATAGAGATTTCCATCAGTTTGCAGACAGTTCAGGCAGCCTAAAAAAAAAAAAACCATTGTCAAAAATCACTTCTGCTATATGTCTGCTCTAGTTATAAGCAACACCTACAATTATTATAACTGAAAGATTTTAAATTCATGCAGTATGAGTGAAGTTATGTTTTCTAAAAAGAAAGGAAAGTTAATACTTAAAACTTTTTTTCTAAGAATCTTACAAAAATGCTAACTGTGGGCGGGAGGTGGAAATATTAATTCATTTAAGAAGTTTGTAGTTGAATCCAGTTAGGGTGACCAGATAGCAAGTGTGACAAATCAGGACAGAGGGTGGTGGGTAATAGGAGCCTATATAAGAAAAAGCCCCAAATATCAGGACTGTCCCTATAAAATCAGGACATCTGGTCACCCTAAATCCAGTTGACCTTTAAAGTATCCTTTAATCTTTTTAACCCCTCCACAAATTCACTCTTCATATCCACCATAATCACAGAATACTGGTGATATCATATTTTATCTGAAAAACACAAACAAGCAATTTATATTTTTAAGGTGCATTATCCCTTTTCTGGTTTAACTGCCACATATTATGCTGTTCTACATTGTAAATGTTGACCTAGCACACACTCTTAGAGGAAAACATTATTTAAAAAAAAGATTTAGATAAAATGTGTGCAATTTTAATGCCTTGACTTACTACTCATGTTAGTAAACATAAACGTGATTAATTGTTGGCAGGATTGGGGCCTAAACTGCTTGCCAAGAGAACCATATTTTTATCTTTTTAATGGAGTTAAACTCTAGCCATGGGACCTGTGAATTGGTAGGATATCGTCTACTTACAAGTAAGGCTCTTTATTAGTAGTGCAGGGTTCCGTTTGCAGAGTATCCTGAAAATTTAGAGGTAGAAAATAATCTTGATAGTGTATGAATATTAGTAGGAGGTATGTGTAGAATTGATGGGTAGAAGCTGGATTTGTAACATGTAAGAGATGGCATGGAGCATTCTGGCTCGCTTTAAAAGCGGTAGCCACAAAAATTGAAGTGTTTTTATGAAATTATTCTAGGCATATTCTACCTTTTTGTATATCTGCAAAATTTAACTTTTTGCTTTTGTGAATGAGGGTGGAAGAGGAACAGAACCCATCTCATTAACTATAATATATTAATCTACCTGGTTATTCATCACACATTGTGATCAATTTACTCCATCTTTGGAACAGAAATCTTATCTTTTAACAACTATATTGACTTAAAAAAAATGGAGAGAGCAGCCATTAGTAGTGATGAGGCTAATTCTTCATGTATCTAAAACTATTTAGCATATGGTGCTACTTTAACTAGAAAAATTATCTTTTCACCTCTTGAGAGGGCTTAAATGCCATGAAGTAGGCACGAGTCTAAGAAAAATCAAATTATTGGAGTAAATTTAACAAAAAGGGATGGAGCATCTTTTTAAGATCTTTTGGATTTCCTGGCCACTGAATGTGTTGTTCTAGGCATGGTGTCACCAGTATATATGTAAAGCATGTAGTCATTACCATGGTCTGATTTTGTGTTTTAAGTGACAGAATGAAAGGCCACAATTGGTTGGCAACTAACTCACTTTTGGGTTAAATAAATATTAACCCCACTTCTGTGTGTCACTTGGTCCAGACTTCAAAAGCATGCTATTGGATAAGAGTTTGAGTGTTCTGATTTTAAACTTGACCACTGCACTATACTTTTTTCACCTGTTGTTTTGCTTTTTGTCATTGCTCATTTAGCTGGCATGTTAAACTGCTCATGTGCTGTGTTTTTACAAGCTACCATTATTTTTCATTATTTATTTGCTTAATTAGTGAACGTAAGTATTATCTTGCCTTTAGTGGCTATTCTTCACTGCATGGTTTGAATGCCAAATAATCCTTCTACTCAGGCCTTTCAGGCTCTCTTTGAAGTGTCTGAAGGTGTATTATTTAAACTTAAGTGCATATGTCTGGGCGTACATTTAAATAAGGCTTTTAAATCAGTGCTGTTTTCATCCATTACATGTGTGTTGCTCATCTATGCCAAGTTACAGGTGTTGCAGGGCATCCAGCTTGGGTTATTAAATTCACTGCAAGTAAGTACCCAAACACTTTGGATTCCTTTTTAGCGAGAAATCTGTACGTTGCCTTAACTACACTAATCAGTTTAATTGTATTTATTCATAAATCTGAGCTGGCCATCTTTCAGTAGGCTCTCTAGACAGAAATACAGAACCTACTGAATTGGAGATCACTGTCTGCTTGTGCACACTTGCTCACTCTATGGGCCTTTCACTTCCAGAAGCATATACATACCTGCCATATCGAACATATTTTGAAAAACAGTTCTTTCACCCTAAAGTAACGGTTATAAAAAGGGTGTTAGTTCTGGTGTGAATATTTTTAAAGAAAGGTTGCAGAATGCTGGAAGTTGTGAAGAAAATTCTGAATTGGTTGATATATTAGGGGCAGCTAGAGATCAGCACCGCTAGATAGCTTTGCATGTAATGGAATCTTAATACTCCAGGGAAACTTTCAAAATTCTGGGAAACTATATAATTTTTTTCTGAATTAAGGCAGCTGACTAAATACAGATATTGTCTAATTTCCTTTTAGAAAATAATTATTCTTGAAAAGAATTAAACACTTTAAAAGAGCTTAATAAATTATAAGACTTAGAGCAAGTCTACACTACTGCGCTACGTTGGCACAGCTGCACGTCTGGTGAAGAAGCGCTGTGCCGATAGGAGAGCGCTGTCCCGTTAGCATAATTACTCCACCTCTGCGAGAGGTGGAAGCTATGTTGGTGGGAGACATTCTCCCTTAGAATTTGGTTGTAAGGGATCCAACTTATGCATAAAAAGAAAAGAGGAAATTGCCTTAATTTACAGTTACATGAGTCATAGCAACACAATTCTCAGAATTTGAAAACATTTTTGAGAAAAGGGTGGTAATGCCATGCTCTAGTTACAGAAGCATCACTTCAAGCTTAATGGCAGGAGAAGGAGGGGAGGATATGCACCATGCCTAAATACCAGTTTAGTCAATTTTGAATTTATTTAAATTGCCTCCTTTTGGCTGATGCTCCTCCTATTTCTTTGCACAAGAATGAAATAAATTAAGTACTTCCTGTCTGAGGCTTTGTAGGAGTGTTGAGCTATCCCAAGGTTTTGCAGACTCAAAATGGAAACAGGTGCTCTCTCTCTCTGTGTGTGTGTGTGTGTGTGTGTGTGTGTGTGTGTGTGTGGTGAAGTTAGCCACTTTATCCCAGTCTTTGAACAAGGGAAGATGGAATAGCTATTGAGAGAAGGAGCAGGGGAATTCTTGGGTTTTGTGCACAGTTATTTGATGTCACCATAATGCACTATATTCCCCAACTAAAAGTAGAGCAAAATTCCTTTAAGCCTAAGTAAGCTGATATTTTCTTTAATACAGACTAGGTGAAACTATAAAACCTTCAAAAAACTAGATACCTCTTCTTGGTGCTCGGGTTCCCCTTGACTGGTAACTGAAGCCATGAAAATATCCAATCAATTGGCTATGTTGAAACTTCTATTGTTGTAGGACAGAACATTACTTCTTGCCAGTAAGAACTCCTTTTAGCTCCTCCTCCCCCCCCCCCCCCCCAGACTTGGAGCTGTTGTCTCATTTAACCTTACTAGAAGTAGTCTTCCTTTCACAGAGATGGTTCTGATACCCTTGTTTAAAAGTGCTATATTCTGAGCAATTCAGCTGGGAAAAGCCAAATCGGTCTGTGCATGTTGTGATTGACTGGGCGATTTGGTTGGGATTTTCTAGTGTTCTAAATGTCCAGCCTGTCTTGTTTTGTAGTTGTGGCTCCACTTGGGATATGTTGTAGCCATAATAAAACTTGTAAAAGTTCAAATTCAACTACATACATCTGCTATTTATTCTTACTTTTTGAGATTAAACAATCTCCACTTTGGACAGAGTCACCCCGAACACTAATGTGAATTCCAGAAAGTGTCGGAGACTTTAACCATGTGGTATCCAAAACTAGATTTATTATGGTAACTCTGGGTCTGTTAGTGATTTGTGTTTCAGCTTTTCACATTCATGTAATTACCATGTAAATTTGTCAAGCTTAGTAGGGTAGATATTCCCTTCCCGTGTAAAATCAGACAAGTTTAAGTAACTGGATGGAGTGCATTTGTGCCAAAGTGACTTGTCACCAGGAATGAATACAGACCTATTAGGCCATTTTCCGCATCATGCACAGTTCTGCCGAGATTAATCACTGAATTTAACTGGTATTGTCTTTCAGAATGACTGGAACATACAGTGCCTACTCTGAAGATAAAGGCATGAGTGTAGCACTATTGGCATATTTTACTATAGCAAGAAACAAAATTGCAACATTGCAATTCTGGAGTCAGAATTGTTATAGTTTTACTGCAATTTCATTTGGAATTAATTTTTTACTTACTATATCTTCTGAATCCAACAAGGGGTCATGCCTTGTTTAATTTAAAAAAAAAAAAAAAAAAAAAGGTTATCTTCTTTAGCTTGGCAGAATTCACCTGAATTCGTATTATACCACTTTGAATGACATGTGCTAAAGTAGTTCAGGATTTCCTCAGAATTTAGGCTCGTGGATTCTTGTGTTAGGTTCTGTCTTTCCCCCTTTCCCATCCTAATCATTCTTCCTATTATGTTGTAACTAAACTAGGACTTGCCATCTATACAGGCTGGAAACGCAATTCACTGACTCCTAAGACGACCATTTTTCCTTGTCCTGGCTGCCGGCATGATGTGGATCTGGGAGAACGTGGCATCAATGGCTTATTTCGAAATTTCACCCTGGAAACTATTGTGGAAAGATACAGGCAGGCAGCCAGGGCAGCCACTGCTATTATGTGTGATGCCTGCAAACCTCCACCTCAAGAATCTACAAAGAGTTGCATGGACTGCAGTGCAAGCTATTGCAACGAATGCTTCAAAATACATCATCCTTGGGGAACTGTAAAAGCCCAGCATGAGTATGTAGGACCAACTACTAACTTCAGGCCCAAGGTAAGTGGTTTTTAATCTGGCGTACCTTACAGATCTTTTCATCTCTTGCATCTGACCTGACCCATAAAAAGCAATTATCTATCGCATAATCTTACATTTTGGTTTCCATCACTATAATCTATTAAATGAGTTGTAAGATTTTGCATTAAAGTTATTCATCTGATGCCAAAGAGGTAGGTGGTGACAGATGCACGAGGCACATATTGGAAGTGGACCATAGACTTTGACTTCATCAAATTAAACGTGTTGGGTGTGGTTCTTTCAGATGAAGGTATGGGGCTTTTTAAGAACAAGGTGTTAATAATTTTAGTTTGTTGGTGGCCTTAAATAATGTGTTTTTAAAAAAAAATCATTGCAGTGGGTCTTTTCTAGAAGTAGCACAATAATCAGAGGTTTGTAGCAATAGTTCCATTCACGTTCCCTTTGGACATTACTTGCATGGGGCTTCATTTATATAAAAGTGTATTTTCTTTCTCTCTCCTCCTCTGCTGCTTTCTTCCTGCACTCTTAGCAGTAACAGAAGGTTGAGTCCCTGGTACAATTATGTGGTAGGTGTGTGGTGGAATGTGTGGTTCTTGTGTTGAATTTAAAACCTAAACTGTATAAATGTCCCTAAGCTGTATAAATGTAGCTTAAACTGTATAAATGTCCCCAATCATCTTTGTATTTTATTAGGTCCCTACAAACACCAAAAATATTGCTGAATTTGTGTAGCTCTTGTGTCTGTGTACCGAAGATAGTGTAGTACTGGTTGCTTAAAATATTAATCTGCTAGTTCAGATATTAATCTGGGGCCAGCTTCTACTCTTTAATTTGGTTCACTATAGGCTGGAAGGCATGTCTAATTTGGTCCACATATGTATGTGTCAAGTAATTGACCTAGAGAAAACGTAAAGTACTTATAAAATCAGGGTGGCAAATAGACTTACAAGTGCGGATTTGATTTTTATGTAAAGGTTTGTGTCATCTGGAAGCTTTATGCTAACAGCTACATATTTTCTAGCAGCCGCTCTTTTTAAAATATATATTTAAATTTAAGCAGGACTCTAAGGTTAAAATCTAGTCATGCTATTCATTTATGGGTCTACATTCTAGGAAATCAAGGCTTAGCAGCGAAGCTGAGTTATAGTTCTGCAGAAGTTTTGTGTAATTTGAAACCAATTAATGTTCTTTCAGATTATCTCTTGTTATCCAGACTACTCTAGCTGCTTCTATTTTGTTATAGTTTATTTAATCTTTCTCCTTTAGAGAAGCAGACTGATCCAAGTTTAGTGCAGATGGAAATCTTGAAATTTATTAATAATTCTGTTTTAGTATTGTAGGGTTAATTAACTTAATGTGATTTTTTTTTAAACAAAATATTCTATTTAAGATTAATTTACATGAAAAAAATTAATTGTATTCCTGCAATCTGACAGAAAATCTAACAATACAAAACTATGTAATTCAAATAATATTGTAAAATAGGTAATTGAATGAAACAAAACCTTGTTTGCATGTTTCTTACTATACTTTTTTCTTTTTACTTGTAAAGACTTTGTGTATGTTGGGAAGAAAAAACACAGACCCAAGCTCTCACTCTCTTTAAAGCCGAAGTGTGGTGGGTTTTTTTTGTTTTTTTTTTGTTTTTTTTGTTTTTTTGTTTTTTTTTTGAGAGGCATTTTACTGACAAAACATTTTTACTTGTGATGTCAGTTTTTTAAAAAGTGATCTTTGGATTTCTAGACTCAGTAGTCTGATCAATAATCAACAAATGTTACTTAATTCTCCTCTAATACAGCATATCATTGCAGCAAATCCTTGTCATTTATTTAAGTTCAATAGATGTTTTAATTTATTTAAAAAAAACAAAAAAGACTTCTAGTGACTTTGACGTCTTTCTGAATTCTTCCATAAGTTCTGATGAGTATAACGATTTACAAATATTAAGTTTTGTTTTTTAAAGGATTTAAAGCTTAAACCAAATCTCTCTCTTGCAGGCAGAGGCAGTAAGGGGGAAGAGAGAATGATTTTGGGCCTTTAGACCTCGATATATTGTGTGTGCATATGGTTGTGATGTATAAGGGGAAGCTTTGACAATGGAAATAGACATGTTCTTGAAATTTTTTTTTAATACAGTTTAATGACTATGGCTTAAACACATCATTATACAGGCTTCCCTATGAGAAGAGACCAACATAGCTACATTAAAGCTTTTGTGATGGCCTTATTGAGGGATGCCAGCACTCTTATGTAAGATTAAATGTGCACTTGCATCACATGCTTTGTTAGGCCATGACTTGAATGCGTGAAGTATTAGTCCTCTAAACAATGTTCCCAGTAATCTATTTGATTCATTTAAAACCAGACTTGATAGCACTTGGTGATGCGTGTGGTGGGGATCAGAGAAGCATATACTATGATTTGTCCTTCTCTCAATTCAGGAACAGATAATCTTCTTGGTTTTTTCCACCTGCACCTTGTTGGAGGGCTGTAACTTTCATTTGATTGTAGTAAGAGACAAGATGAGGAGTAGAAATGTGGTCTGTTATGAAGGCCAGACATTCCTGTGGAAAAATGGCTTGTCTTCCAAACAGTGGCTGCTAATGTCCTTATGAATTCAATCCTCATATTTTGAGGTCTGTTTAAAGGAGTTTTATTGGGGCTTCCCTTCTTTTTGCCAGCCCAATAGTCTGTAACCATAGAATCCCGAATATTCATACTTCTAGCCTAATGATGCACTCTTGAAATTGTCTCAGTAGCACCTTGGTAAACAGGTTGTCCTCTTCAGTGAAAAGCCTAAAGAAGATCGAAGTTGATACTTGGAATTCAAAGGAAAAGTTTGCTTCATTTGAGGACTGCATACTTTGCTCATTTCACCTCTGTTCTTCTATTCACAGGCCACTGGGCAATATTTCTTTCCCCCCTCCTGATATTACTTGCAATGGATTATAAATAAGATGAATGTAAATTACTTGAGTTTGTCCAGTGACTATGGGATTGGTTTACTGTTATACTGTACCTTAATGAGCTGTTAAATGTTTTTCTGGAATACAGTTGCATTCTTATTATTTTTGGCAGATCTTGATGTGTCCAGAACATGAAATGGAGAGGGTAAACATGTACTGTGAAATTTGCAGAAGGCCTGTGTGTCATCTTTGTAAATTGGGTGGGTCTCATGCAAATCATAGAGTAACAACCATGAGCACTGCCTACAAAACTCTCAAGGTAAGACTAAATGTCTTTTCAGTTTGTCTTAAGAAAACTGTGTTATGTATTGCATGTTATAAACACTCCCAGGCTTTTGCATTTAGAGGATGTTGTAATTAATGCCTTATCCATGTGGCTGTTGCACAATAGAACATGATGATGTAACTAGTTTCTTCAATCATGTGAGTGGGTGTTAATTCTATCTAAAACATTAAACTACATACTCTGGCTCATTTAAAATGATAAACCTTATCTGCCCATCGTTATAAAATGTTTCCATTAATGTTTCTTTTAGCTCACTGTAAAGTACAGACTTCAAAAAAGTTAAGAACATGGCACTACTGGCCAGTTTAGCTCAGCCCGTTCTAGCTATTCAGGTAAAACAGACTCTTGTCTTATGACTTGGGGAGGAACGGACTAAAAAACAAAGGAGCAAACGGAATTTCAAATGATGAAATTGTTTTTTAAATAGTGAAAAGCAAATTTGTCCGATAGCTGAAGCAGGTTCTAGAAGCCTAAAAGAACCACAAGTTAAGTTAAACCAAAATTGAACTTGTGTGTGTGTGTGTGTGTGTGTATATATATATATATAATATATATATATATAAATATATAAAAGAACTGTAGAGCAAACTTAAAATATTTGTTTTTCCTTTTTTGTGGGGTAGGGAAGTGGGAGTGTTGTTTATCTGAGCTACTTGGTCTAGGATAGGGTTTCTTTTTCATTCGATTTCCAGCATTGGCTATTTATGTTACGCTATCCTTGCAGTATTTCCAACTTTCTGGTTCTGGTGAAAAATAATGAGGTACAGAAGCAAAATATTCAGAAACTCCAAACTCAATCTTAATTAGTCTTGGAAGATTTTTATTGGTAACTTTTGATTAAAGTCAAATTCACTGTGTACACGAACCAATGCACAAACTTCCATTGATGGATAATCACAATTTACATGTAGGCAAAGTAAGAAAAAGGCTCCATGGGAACTTACTAGAGTTTAATTTAAGGACACTGTGTTTTTTACAGTTAAAAATTTAACTTTTTGAATCCCAGTGTCTACTGAAATTAAATTATTTTATGACCCCCTCCCCCCAGTAATATCCTGCAACTGTGAAAAATTAAATAGATAAAAATAAAAATGCTTAAAACTAAATATTTGTAGTTATCAAAATAATATAAAGTAAAATTCTGCCAGCCCTAATCATCTTAATTACCTTAGTGTTTTTAAGTTATTACATTTATATTTCATTTATATAAATATTAGTAATTATCACAAAGACCTTAAATCTCACTCTTCAGGGTATGAGAAAATTGGTTTCTGAGGTTGGGAAGAAATGTCCTTCGATGGTGTATGGTACACTATAGCATGAACTTAGGTGCATTATAGAGATTTTTCACCATCCTTGGAAACATCTGACACTGACTACAGATCACCAGGTAGAGCTGATCAGTGACCTGTCGTTCCTGTAATCTATTGCTTATATATAATCCATGGCTGGCTGTTGGTCTTCTGTAAATAGGTAAATTTAACTGAACAACTCAAATTGAGCATTGGACGTCTGTCTTGTAGATGACTTACGTGCACCAACTGCCAATGTAGGTATATTATCCTATTTCTTCTAACTTACTATTCTATTTCTACAGGAAAAACTTTCAAAGGACATAGAATACCTCATTAGTAAGGAGAGCCAGGTGAAAGGTCAAATTTCTGAACTGGGTCTTTTAATGAAAGAAACAGAGGTAGGAATAACTTATTGGTCAGATTTTTTTGTTTGTTAGACATTCGTGCTCTCTCTCTCTCTCTCTCTCTCTCTCTCTCTCTCTCTCTCTCTCTCTCTCTCTCTCTCTCTCTCTCAGAAAAGGTTGCGCTCTTATGTATTTTCTCTAGTCTATGTCATCTTTTACATTGTAAATAAAAATTGTATATGTTCTGCAAATTGGGATGAACAGATGCTTCAAAGTAGAACTTTACAGGGTGAGTGACATTGCACAAAATAATCAAAAGTTGCTTGTCTGGAGTTAAACCATTTTTGACTAATATACTAAATTTAATATCTGATAACATCCCATTATGCTATATATTTTTTAGGACAGGGAATGTCTTCCAATCTGCATTGGGTCCCCATTGAACTAGAAATGTATAGGTGCTACGTTCTATAGCTAAATAGAAATAATATTCAATGACTGTCCTGCAGAAGATCTAATAGGTCTCTTCCATCTTAAATTGTAGTTGGACTATAATACAGTCAAAATCAAATTTAAGGAAATAACAGAATGAGAAAGTAGGAAGTTCAGGCTGGGAAAAAAGCTTATGTATGAGACATAAGGGGCTGAGAAGAAGCTGGTATTACATAAGCAGAGAGAGTGTGCAGAGAGAATGGAAAATATAATAGGTCCAGGAGTTTTCACTTACCATATTTTAGAAAATCCAGCTTTAGTGTCTGTCTTGGAGAAATATATAAGCTTAAAGAGCAGCTGACACCAGGAAATTCTTTTAAAAATCATGTTTCTACTCTCATATAATAGAAATAACTCTCTGTTTACATGGGAAATATACATGAATATTAGCTCTAAGGAAACTTCTTAGTGTTCTCCAGGGCTTAAATTATTCCACTCTCACATAAAGTTGTAGAGCTGCCATCACAGAAGTTGTTCAAGAATCAGTTTAAATCCTTGTGGGATGATGTAGGTGGAGAAATGCCTTGCATGGTTCAAGGGTTTGCATTGGATGAGCAGAGAAGCATTTTCCTGTCCACTCACCTAACTACATTAAAGTTGTGAAATTGTCATGACCGTTTCCCAACTCAGGCACAAAAACTACTCAGTTGCTCTTTATTTTGATGATGAAAATACTGACGTCTGTTTTGCCCATCAAAAATTATTTGCCATGAATGAGTAGAACTTTGCAATGCTGTTTTGAAAATTTTTCATAAAACCTCCTATTGCTTCCCATAAGATTTCAAAGTACTACAGAATGAGTTCTTTTGTTTTTTAAATGTACTTTGTATTTTGTAATAGTGCAATGGTGAGAGGGCTAAAGAAGAAGCATCTAATAACTTTGACAAGCTGTTTGATGTTTTGGAAGAGAGGAGATCAGCTGCTCTGAGGGCAATTGAGGCGTCCAAGAACTTAAGACTAGAGAAACTCCAAACCCAAATAGAGGAATATCAAGGACTTCTGGAAAACAATGGTCTTGTGGGATATGCTCAAGAAGTGCTTAAAGAAACAGACCAATCTTGCTTTGTTCAAACAGCAAAACAGCTCCATGTTAGGTATTTTATCTTACGTTATAAAGAGTGTTTTTAAAGTTTTGTCTTATTTCTATCATATTTTTCACATGTATTAAGATATTACTGTTTGTTAAATAAAATTTTGGATGTAGCTGATGCTCATTGTGTAGAGGTTAATTTAATGAGCTCAATCTTCTTGAGGTGGCAATTCTTAAGTTGCATCGTAATATAGGAAACACTTTATGGAGATGAAAAGTCAAAAATTCATCCCTTGCAAAGTGACAAACAAAGTGGAACACTCTTGGATGAATACATATCCCACTGTTAGCAGGGAGACTATATATGAATTTGCAAAGGGATAGACTTGATGATCTAATAGGTATCTTTTGCCTCTAACCTCTTTGATCCTAAAAGCTGATCTCCATTAGGGGTAATGAATATTCATCTTGTTCTTTAAGCTGCTTTTGTGGAGGCATGTTTACAAAACTGAAATGTGTAAACAGAAATATCAGTTTTAATCTGTTACCTTGTCGGATTTCTCTGTCACAGTGTACAGTGTTTAAAGTTTTTGGGTGAAATCCTGGCTCCACTGACGTCAATGGGAGTTTTGCCCAGGACAGCAGGACTTCATGCTTTGTATTTTAATGCTGTTTTCGATACACTACAGGTCAGATTCACAGGGGAGACAAAGGTGCTTTAATGGATAGTTAGGTGCCTAAGACCAACATTTAGGCACTACTAGCATTCACAAAACCCTTCTTCTGTAGGTGACTAAGTTCCCTAGATGTCTAAGTTTCTGCTGGTGGGTATATGCAAAGTCATCTAAGTCTTGACAGTACTGAAAAATTTGGCACCTAGCTTACACCTAAGTCCCGGTGTTCCTCTGCCTATTCCTTCTTGCCAGGCCCCGTCTGGTAAGCGTGCTTCTTCTGGCCTGGAGTTAGGCATCTGACTTCCTTTTGAGGGGCAGGGCTTAGACCTCTCTCCTTAGCATTTGCTGTCAGCTGGCTTAGGTGGCTGCCTGCTCAGCATGCTGGCTTCTCTGAATCCCTTCTTAGGCACCTAACTGTCCCCATGCATTGTATAGGGTGTCTGGGGTAGTGAATTCCTGTAGGTGCCTTTTAGGAAGCCTAAAAGTTAGGTGTTGCAGTACTCAGAGCCTAAGGGTACGTCTACACTGCAAAACCAGAGACCCATAGCAGCGAGTCCCAGAGCTTGGGTCTACAGACTCAGACTCCTGCCCATAGGGCTAAAAATAGCAGTGTAGGCATTCCTACTCGGTCTGGGATCCAGGCTCTGAAACCCAGTGAGGGGGAAGGGTCTCAGAGCCCAACTCCAGCCTCAGCAGGAAAGTCTACGCTGCTATTTTTTTTGCCCCATAGCATGGACCCGTTGACCTGAGTTCTCAGACTCCTTGCCACAGGACCTTTGTGGTTGTGTAGACATACCCAAAGTCTCATCCCGCTCCCCTTGTGAATGTAGCCCTACTTTGCTAAATTATATCTCTGTCTATGTATCTTCTCTCTTCCCCGCCCTCCCCTTCCCTTTCAGAATTCAAAAAGCTACTGAATCTCTGAAGAGTTTCAGGCCAGCGGCTCAAACTTCTTTTGAAGATTATGTGGTTGATATAACAAAGCAAGAAGAGGTTCTTGGAGATTTGTCCTTTTACTCCAGTGGTAAGTTCAATAAAGGGGGTTGTTTCTATTTCCTCTTTCCTGAGTTGTGGCCCAGGTGGTGGTGCTAGGTTTAGGTAGGATTCCCAAGCTCTTCAGACTATGGCTGCAGAGATCCTTGATGCGCCTCCCAACAGCTGCTTTCCATCAGGAAAAAGCTTTTTATGGAGACAGATTTCTACACTCCCAACAATATGTTCTGAAACTTCAAGCTTCTCAGTCTCGTAGCTCCATGCTTACTAAGGGTATGACTGTGCTGTAGCACACACCTGTGTTGCTATAGTGTAGATGCTTCCTAGATCAACGGAAGGGGTTTTTTGCATCAATGTAGTTAATATAATTCCTTTGAGAAGTTCCTATGTCACGGAAGAATCCTCCTATTGACCTAGCTGTGTCTACACCAGGAATTTAGGCCCTCCTTACTGTGATTAAGGTTATGATTTAGTCACGGAAGTCATGGATTCAGTGATTTCTTCCACTTCAGCTGTCAGCAGCTGAAGCCAGAACTGGAGGCAGGACTGTGCGCCCCAACCCTGCAACTGGGGCTGGATGGCTGGAACCAGTACCCTGCAGCCCCTGCTGTGCAGCTTAGGGGGGCAGTGGGGAGCTGCAGCCAGGCTGTGAGCCCCAGTTTAGGGGCTGCAGGCAGCTCCGTAGCAGGAGCTGTGTGGTCCCCGTGGCTGCGCTGCGCCGCCCCCCCCCCCCCACTGCATCCCAGTCCCGTGGCTTCCGCCAGGGGCTGCAGTGGGGAGCATGCTGCAGCCAGGGCCATGTGACCCAGCCCCATGGCAGGGACTTCATTGTGGGCCATGCACCCTTCTTGTGGTGTCCCAGGGCCATGTGCCCCATCATGCCCAGGGCTTGGCAGGGGCTGCAGGTGCAGCTGTGCACCCCACAACTACGGCCAGCTCCAGAGTGGGGACTATGCGCCCCCTCCATGCTGCGTCCCAGCCCCGCGTCTCTGTCTGGCAGCTGCCATGGGGGCTGTGTATCCTCCTCATGTCTTCCCAGGGCTGCCTCCAGAGCTTGGCGAGGGCTGGAGCTGGGGCCACGCACTCCTGTCCCACAGCTGCAGCCAGATTTGGAGCAGGGGGCTGTTCATCACCCGCTGTGGCCACTGGGGCCGGGACTGTGCCCGCCTGTTGGTTCCCCCCTCACCCCGATTCCATTCCTCCCCCCTTAGCCCTGACCCCAGTTATTTTTAGTAAGGTCAGGGACAGGGTCATGGGCTCCACAAATTTTTTTTTTATTGCCTGTGACCTGTTGGTGACTTTTACTAAAAATAACCGCGACAAAATCTTAGCCTTAACTATGATGCCCTGGGTGCAAAATTTTTCAGTCTTGACTGACGTAGCTTGGGTCTAATTTTTAAGCATAGACTAGGCCTGAGAGCATGAGTGGAACTCTCCATCTTAACATGCAGTATCATCATAACACCGAAAATGGAAAAATACTATTAGTGTGTGTGCATGGGTAAAAATGAGATACAATAGAAACCTAATGTAACCTGGAACACAGAACAACTTTATAAGTAACCACAATAATTGACATTTGTGTTTAGAGGTATTGGCACCAAAAACTATTTCAGTAGCTATTTGCTAATACTCTTTTATATCAGGATTGTTCTTTGATGGTTAGAAGTATCTTTTAGATTGGCAATAATACTTGGTCTAACTAGAAGTTTTTGTGCCTCGCACAACATACATAGATTTTTTTTTTTAAACTTTCTATAGTTTCTTGACATTTTAAATATATAGATAAGGAATTCTGGAAACTTTCAACATGAGTACAGAGAACATGAGCATTGGCCTGCTAAACCCAGGGTTGTGAGTTCAATCCTTGAGGGGGCCATTTAGGGGTTTAGTTGGGGATTGGTCCTGCTTTGAGCAGGGGGTTGGACTAGATGACCTCCTGAGGTCCCTTCCAACCCTAATAATCTCTGATTCTATGTCTTTCATCATGGGAGGAAGAACTTTCCATTACTTCATAAGCCATTGGTACACCAATGGTATGTAGTTCTAAAACTAATACTAATAGCTGCTTACATACAAGAAAAAAAAAAACATTTTTGTATCTTATGGCTATTCCAGGTCTAGATGTACCAGAGATCAATGAGGAGAAGAGCAGAATGTATAATAAAGCTTTGATCTGTTGGGAACATCTAGTGAAGGAAGATTCAGCTGATACCTATATCCTTGAATACCGTAAACTTAATAGAGAAGAGGAGAATGCAACATGGCAAGAGATTGAAGCCTGCAGCAAGAGTAAAGTAATCTCTGACCTTGAAAATAACAGCAGCTATGCCTTTAGAGTCCGAGGATATAAAGGATCTATCTGTAGCCCCTGGAGCAGGGAAGTTATTTTACACACACCTGCAGCTCCAGGTATACCAAGTATAAGTTACTCCATAATGGAATAATATACAATGCCTACAGTTTCTCTTTAACCTATGCCCATTTTCAAGTAAATTTTAAATTTGCAACCTGCTGTCATCCTTATGGCGCGCGTGTGTGTGAATGAATAAATAAGCATTGCATTTATTCATGAATTAAGGTTGAGACTAGTTGGCAATCAGCTGTAAGAGTTTTACACTGTCTTGTATCGCACTACCAGTAGTTTATCTCTTATGTTAGCGCATCTTAGAAAAATGTAAGATAAGTACAAAAAATTCCATGGTAAAATATTGACCTAGTGTGAATTTTTGTTTTTCTTTTTTTAGTCTTTAGTTTTCTTTTTGATGATAAATGTGGCTACAACAGTGAACGTCTCATGCTGAATCCAAGGAGAACCTCTGTGGAAAGTAGGGCTGGATTTCCTTTGCTGCTAGGGGCTGAACGTATCCAAGTGGGGTGTTACACAACTCTGGACTACATCATTGGAGACACTGGAATCACAAAAGGGAAGCACTTTTGGGCTTTTCATGTGGAATCTTATTCATACTTGGTGAAAGTGGGAGTTGCATCTAACACTAAACTACAAGAATGGCTCCATAATCCCCGTGATGTAACCAGCCCAAGGTAAATGTGGTAGATCTTTGTATAACTTTTTTTTTTTTTTTTTTTTTTTTTTTTTTTTTTTTTAAGAGTGAATCTTTTAAAATAAATTTAAAGGGACAACTTTCCATTTGGTAGAATTAAGAGTTGACCGTAATTAGCTCTAATTGGTTCCAGTTGGTTAGCTTCAGCAATCATGTGGGGGGAGGTGGAGGGGTGAAAGAAGAGATGGGAAGCAGTCCAGGGAACCTCTGATCTAAAGAAAAATTACTGTATGTTTTCAGCAGTTGGTTGACTTCCTGAGAAGCTAGCAATTACTATTGATGTCTAAATTATCCAAAACCCTAGTTTGTCCCCTGGAGACAATTGAAGTATATTGGTGTCTTACTTTACATAGCTTTCCATGACTTTTCAGCCATTGCAAGTGTCCAGGATATCATAGGCTGTGGTAAGAAGGCTTTCCCAGAGTTCAGTGGGTCTGTTAGGTCTTGGAATAGACACTGTAATAATACCTGAGACATGTTTCTGTAATAGTCTACTTTAGTGGACCTCAGAGTCTCACTGGTTGCAGGCATAGCACTGCACTGGAGTAAGATTTGCTGGCTTGGTAGCAGTCAAGGGGCAAAGTACAAATGAAGGACTTCCAAATATATTCAGTCACAACTGTAATAATCATGGATGCATCTACCGTGAGATGGAGAATCCATTTGAAGAGGTATTCTGGGCATTCAGGGCATTCTGATTCCTGGAGGGACCAAAACTTCACAGATAATGCTGTATGAACCAGAGCACTGCAAGAGGTTTGTGCACTAAATCTTGGAACCTTGCCACTTGGACAGATTTCCAAATGGTCTGGTGGACAAGAAAAGGATTGGGAATCAGGAGCTCTGGATTTAACTTCCGGCTCTGCAACAGATTGGGTGCAACCTTGGTCAATTCATGACGCTGGTGCCAGTTTCTTTCTCTGCGACATAAGGATAGTTCTATTTTACGTCACAAAGTTCTTGTGAAACTAAATTCACTAACATTCAGGTGAGGTCAGATACTATACTGATGAGATCTATGTAGAACTCTTTAAAATAGAATTCCTAATGTCGATAAGATGCACCAGTTCTGAGTTGTCAACTCTGGCAAGAACCTGTCAGCCTGATGGGACTAGCTGCATCAATCTTTTATAAAAGCCAAAAATCAGAAAACCCCTAACCAATCTTTGAGTCAGTGAAGGATTAGCATAATTGTTTGGTTTAAATGCTGAGCAGTGTACACCATGTGAGGAAGTCCAAATTCAAACGTTTTTCCTCCCAATGCTCATAAAACAGTTTGAGATTGAACATCCATTTTGAGCATCTGTTGCAGAGCCAGAAGTTAAATATAGTGTTATCTGTTCATAAAATACTTCAGTTTAAAATAACGTAAAGCATTCTGACTATGATTTGTTTGTTGAGAAAATTGTACTCTTTGATTCTAGATATGAACAAGACAGCGGTCATGACAGTGGGAGTGAAGATACCTGCTTTGACTCATCACAGCCTTTCACATTGATTACTTTAGGCATGAATAAATTCTTTATTCCCAAGGCACCTACTGCTCCCAAAGATTCTGCAAATAGAATTCTTCCAATGCCATCTTGTATAGGAATCTGCCTTGACTGTGACAGAGGCAAAGTTGGATTCTATGATGCAGACCACATGAAATGCCTCTATGAGCGCCAGGTAGACTGCTCTGGTACAATGTATCCAGCATTTGCATTAATGGGGAGTGCAGGAATTCATCTTGAGGAAGCCATCACAGCAAAGTATTTGGAATACCAAGATGATATGTAGTGCAAATATCTACTGGTACTGTTTTTGAGATGAAAAATGTGAGCAGAAGGATCTGCCTTAGCATTAAGTCTTGATTAATTACATCATATCTCCTAAGTGCTTTTGCTGCACTCATGCTTTTGGGTCATTTTTTAATCATAGAAACAAAAATTGTTGTCCAACCTCTTTACCAACTTATAGTGCCCATGAGGACATTCTTCCAGTCGCTCTCCTGCCTTTCTTTGATTGTGTGGTGAAACTTGCTCTTCAGAGTTTGATTAGCAACTTAATTGTCTTTCATGAGCTGGAAACCTGTTTGTTATATAATTTATATCCTTACTTAGCTGGCTCTGCTGGTTTCACTTTTGTTTTTGTTTTTTAATGGAGTCAGGGCCCACATAATAGTGCATTTATTGTGATTATCTTTTGTGTCCTTTTATTTTAAAAGAAGTTTGTCTGAATGCATTTGAGTGGTCAGGCATTTTTGTAACTGACTCATGAGCACCAGTGAGATGGATTTTTCTGTGCTAAATAATGTTTGCACCAATGGAAAATGCAAAGCAGTAGGAAATCAAAACTGCACTGAATAGGTTATATTTTGGGGGGGGGGGGGGGGGGTATGTGTGTGTGTGGGGGGAATTATTGTATCTGATATACATTTAGATTGACTATAAACTAAAATTATGACTTCCAGAAACTGGTGAATAACTGTACAAGAGGTTAATAATGAAGTTCTTAAATATCTTTACTATCCCAGGTTTTTAGTATGGACTGTATAAAGTATATTTAAAAAAGTGCAATTTGTCTTGAAACATTGGTCTTCAATGTCTATGAAACTCAGTTATCGGTATGTATAATAATGGTTCCTGGTCTTTTGCTGGGCAAAAACAAATAATGAACTGACACAAATGATAAAATACATAAACAACTTTTTAATTAAAAAATTCAGGTCTTTCTGTTAATACATGTTTTGTAAGTTAACTTTGTCTTCAATAAAGGATTGTTTTTAGTAAGAATGTGTTAGAAAAATGCACTGATTACATTTGAGACATTCTTTTTTGCCTTAATGTGTCTGTTTAGCTCAAACATTTCCTTGTTGTATTAAAATTTTCTAATGTTGTGGTGTTTATATATGTTTGAAAGCAGTATGTGCAAAAATGGTTTAAGTATCTGCACTGTTACCGTAGCTTATAAGAAACATGCATCTCTAAAATTGAAAATATTCCTGAAATATAAGATATTTAATAACTTACTGTTCTTGTTTGGTTGTGATTGTCTGTCTTGATGGATGTAAGTAGTAAATGTACTTCACACATTTACTAAGTATATAGTATTTAAGTAAATACTTAAACGGAACCTGAAATTCTCAGTATTTTTTTTTTTTTTTTTTTATCCAAGATTGAGGTATTAATCATTCTGGATCATAAACCTAAATGAATGTAAGGTAAAGTTAATGTTTTATTTGAGATTTGCCACCTATGCCAGAACTTATTTATTAGACCGTGACTAATAAATAGACTACTCTAAAAGACCAACACGCCTGTCAACTGAACTATGATCAAGCTTCTGACATTGCTATTATACACATCTCATTATTTGAATTAAAAATTGATTTGCACTGGGAATTACTTGAATACTTTGGACACATTAATATAGTAATATATGGTGCTTGCTCCTTCAGTGTATTAAACAGAAAACATACTACCTTGACTGTACAGAGGCAAACAGTTCTCCATTTTTGCACAATAATTGAAAAAGTGTCATCTTCTAAAAACACAGTTCAGTGACACTTGCCTATCCAAATATTTTTGGAACTAATTTCTTGCTACAAAATAGCACTTTACAATGTAGACAAAGCTAAGAATTGTGTGGCATTTGTGGATCATTGTGCAATATAGCTGTTAAATGAACAAAACGGTTGGTGACTTCTGTGATCTGCAAAGCTCTATACGGTATGGGGTAAATCATGGAAGACACTTTTCTTAAACATCTAAAATTTTAACCAGAATATTTTTGAACAAGACCACCTTGTTCTTAATTGTAAATGTAACTTCACTTTTGGTTTTGCTTTTTTAAAATAAAAACTGAAAAGTAATGTAGTTCGATCATTCACATTATTACATCCTAGTTCTTAAGCATTTTGCTGTTAAGATGTAGTAATTTCTCCCAGTAACTGAATGTTGGTTTTTATATGGGGGAAAAATTCATGTTCTTGGTGTAAGAAAAGTCTATTCAGTTATCACGCTTCAAAATAGCTGTGTATATGTAACCCACACACCTCCTGCGTGTGGTGTTCTGTCTCAGCTAGAGGCATGGAGACTACTTAGAGAGGGAGAGAGACACACTGAATCTGCTCTACAGCATTAGCTAACAGGCAATTGGCTTTTAGCTCATGCAGTAGAGGCTCATGCACTAAGCTCCAGAGGTCCCTGGTTCAATCCTGACAACTGGGGTCTGTTGGCATTACACATATAAAGTGAGATAAATGCTTATGGCGTTCTTCTCCATAGTTCTCAGAGTGGATTAATCTATTTTAGACTTAATGCCAGTTTATCTGGAACTGCTGTGATTTAACAGTTTCTGATAATTATTGACCTCACCTATGTTGCACCATGAAAATGAAGTTATATGAGACTTCTTAAACATGGAATTTGTTGCTTTCACAACTCCCAAGTTTCTCCTATTTTGTGGCAGTGGTTTTCTGCATCTGTCACCTTTTTTTTTACACTGAGAGCTATGGTTAAGTTTATTATATAACAAATTAGTGAACTGTGAACAAATAAATGTCAATATGGCTCAGCTGGATTCTCACTTCTGAGGCAGAAGGGTTTGGTTCATGTTTCACCCAAGGAGTTGGGTTCATACGCAGTGCTGACTTTTGTGGGTTGCTTAGCCATTAGAGTTGCTCTCTACAGAGACTAAAGAACAGTCTGTCTTACCAGCCTTTCATCTGTGCAAGTAAATGATCCCATATACCTTTTCAAAGAGGTAAGGGGGCAGTCCAAATTTAGCCAACACAAGCTCAAAACACTGTTGTTCTGTTAAAGGCAAAAATGCTGCTCTTGTTTGTATAGTGACTGCACTAATACATTGTAACTTTTTGTGTAAAGTGCCTTGAGTGATGTACCTTTAACATGAGAAATGATATTTAAAATAAATGTTGAGGGTGAGGGGAGAGCAACTGTGAGACTACAAGTAAGCATTCTCTGAGTGTCACTTGAGTTGAGGTAGAGTTTGCTGGTACTTCCTGGAAGCACATAATTTGAGGGGCATAGTTAAAGACTTTATGGTCTCTGACTGGAGCTGGATTTTTAAGATTTAGGAAAACACCACTATAAATGTATATCTGTATGAGAAAACTCAATGTGAGACTTCAGTACAAATTGAGAGAAGTGGCTTTGGCATGGCCTGAGGAATATTTCTAGCTCCTTGGCACTGCAATAAGGCTTTTTTTGTGTTTATTACCAACCATAAACATCTCACGAGGCAAGTCCAACTGAGGATGAAGGGATTCGTTTGTTTTCGCTGGCCTGTCTAGTTTGACAGACTGTCCTTTATTGAATTCTTAACCCCTTTCTCCCTCCCTCTTCTACTCTGCTAGATAGATTCTCACACTTCTGTCTTAAGAATTCTAAGGGTTTGTCTACACTGGCACTTTACAGCACTGCAACTTTCTCGCTCAAGGGTGTGGAAAAACACCCCCGAGTGCTGCAAGTTTCAGGGCTGTAACGTGACCGTATGGACAGTGTACCAGCACTGGGAGCCGTGCCCCTCGTGGGGGTGGGTTTTTTTAGAACGCTGGGAGAGCTCTCTCCCAGTGCTGTGCCCCTACTACACAAGCCACATTAAAGCGCTGCCGCGGCAGTGCTTTAACATTGCTAGTGTAGACAAGCCCTAATGCAGTGAGTCTCAAACTTTTGTACTAGTGACCCCTTTCTCAGAGCAAGCCTCTGAGTTTAATCCCCCATTATAAATTAAAACCACTTTTTTATATATTTAACACTATTATAAATGCTGGTAGCAAAGCAGGGTTTTGGTTGGAAGCTGAGAGCTTGCAAACCCCCACATAACCTCATGACCCCTGGAGTGGTCTCGACGCCTCCCCCCCCAGTTTGAGAACCCCTGCCCTAATGCAATATCTCTTCCTACTCCAGTTTAAAACCAGTGCTTTTGTGTCTGCCTCTGAACTAGATAGGAAACTATGTGGTCCCTATTTGATTGCATCACTTGATTTAAGAAGGTGTCAGTCTCCCAGTGAGCAATGAGGCCATTTAAAGAGGCTATAAGAGAGCAAAACTAAATCTTAGTCATTTTACTCTACAAAAAAGTGATGAAGTGAAAGAGATTCCTACTAGAAAAATAAATAGGAGTCATAAGTGCTTTCGAAATACAGTTTTTCAATAAATGAAGATAAGAACCACATGTGCAAGACCAGCTCAAGAAATAAGCATGAGCTCTTACTGTGTCTAGATATATTTATCCAAGTAACCAAACTAAGCAGTGAATTATGGAGTGTGAAGTGCCGCTGTTCCATCCTTTTCTCACTATGAAATTGCTGGGCTGATAAAGTAGAGCATATGCCTGAGTCAGTTCATTCATGCTGGCACTTGTTCCAAGAGCCCTCCATTAGTACTAATACATTATGTGCTTTGAAAACCAGTGGCAACCAGTCCTTATTTAGGACTTTGCATATTACTGAATCGGATGCACGTGTAGATGCTCTTTAGTGGCATGATGAATCAAGTTACTTGCAATATATCCTTTTCCATAGTATAGTCCCTCTTCATATGCACACTATTCAGTGTTAATGGGAGATGTCTGCATAAGGCATATACAAAGGCCAATCCACATTTGGTTTTGTTCAATCTTCCATTGAACACCATTACATCGTGTTACATTACACTTAGAATGAGGCAACACTGCAGCTTCTCAATTATAAGCCCTATCTGAGGATTTGCTTTCCACCTTTCCTCTGTTTCCTTTGTTGGTTAAGCCAAGAAATTACACAGACCAGGTTGTGGTACCTGAGCTTGGTGGTGGTGGTAAACTCCTAACAGGGTCATTTGTCCCCTTTTAAGGGACAGCAGGGCTGAGGCCTAGCTTGGGGAATTGTTTAATCAGGTAGGTACTGCCTTTAAACAATAAAACTCAGCTGTTAGGTGACTGCCCAGAGAGGAGAATT